TCAAAGACCAAAGATTCGATACAGGCAGTAGCGCACTGATATGGAGATGATGATATCGTTGCATTCTGGGGAAAAAATACATCAAGCATATTTGGGTTAGTAGCAGACAGCAATCTGAATTAAAACAAGCTGTACTAAAGCACTCACAGCACGGCTAGCCTCATGCCTAGAGACAGCTACAGCAGCTGCTGCCACAGCAGCCAGAGACAAGTGCTGAGAAGAGTCATGATGCTGTTGTTGCAGATGGTGATGCTGCTGTTGCGACTGATTCAAATGCTGCTGATTATGTAGCGATTGGTGATGATGAGGAGGAGGAAGTGGTCGAAGATGAGCCTGATCATTGATCTGATGCTGGGTGAAATGCTGATGTGGCTGTGTTGGCTGATGATGGTGCTGATGATGATGGAGATGCTGGTGATGGTGAGACTGAGAATGATGGATAAGCGGATCGAATATATGTGCACTGCTGGTTTCTGGAGTCTGGTCTAAATTTCCACCCACTCTTATGCTCTCAACAGATTTTGCTGTAGAAGACTGTTGGGCCGCTTGCAGAAAGCCCAGCGGCACCAGATTGGGGTGATGTTGACGTGAGCTAGGATGCGAGTGGGCTTCGTGTGAATGCAAGTGTGTGTGTGGTGGGTGCACGAGCAGTTGCTGTGAATGTTGACCACGTTGATCCAGGAGATGATGAGGAAGAGGAGGAATAGGACCAGTAGGACCGCTAGTACCAGATGCAGGAGCAGAAGCAAGGGCCGAGATAGAAGTAGGAACAGTAGATAGATGATGACTGTGCTGCTGTTGTTGATGAGAATGGGGCGGATTTGGTTGAGTTTGATAAAGATGATGATGTTGTGTAAGCGAATGTTGATGTTGTTGGTGATGAAGGTGGGATTCTGCTTGTCCGGAAGTTGAAGCTGCCTCATCGGTGGTTGAATAGCTCCGGCCTGACTGGCGAAGCCCGGGTGGTGAAGCCAGAGGATGGGGATGAGAATGAACAAGTGCCGAGGTAAGCGCCTGCGTTTGCGAACTCCCAGGAACAGACTGAGCAGGAGTCACGTGCGGATGCGGTGATGGTTCAAGAGGACTGGTTGCCAAGGAGCCCGATTGTTGCTGCTGTTGTGGAGGA